TTCTCATGCTCACTGCAGGGGTTAAACATTTGGGTGCTCCCTCCACGGAAGCTTTTAATTTCGGGATGGGTTTGAGGTCAGATCTTGCTTAATGTCAGGCATGCCTCCTTCAATATCCAAGCAAGAAAAACCTCAACGCCATTTGAATAGAGATAAAGTACTTTTACTAGATATGAATTGAAAGCAGTGAAAAGGAAAGCAAGATCTGAGCCAAAAAGGCACGAACATGTACATATCAAATGTTTACCCAGCACCCTCCCCCCAATTCCCCAACCCTATGTCCAATCTGCAATTCCCTAAGGTGTCATGTGGGGTGCATCTTCAAAAAAACCTCAAGTTGGTATGTGGGATGGTTGACCTTGACCAAGTCCAAACACAGGCCATTAGCATGCACAAAAGATGGTGAGAACAAAACTCCCTTCTTCATAACTCCTCCAGCACTAGTAATTCCGCCTCCCTAATATCTCAAGCCCCCTCCCCCCGTTTCTATGGCAGCTGATAGCAAGCAAGGAAAGTAGAGGCTGACATTCAGCCCTCCTTCATAAAGGACATCATCCCTGGAGCAGAAGATAAAATAGACAACTATTAAATAAATAGTTATTTAAATAAATAGATAAATAAATAAAGGGAGACTAGTATAGATCTAGGTAGATGTGTTAACCATTAAGCCACAGGTCCTCCTCCTTATCAGCTGAGCCAGGGAAATAGGTATGTATTTAGTGTCATATTTGGGCATACCAGGGGTTGTGACACTAAATACATACATACATACATACATACATACATACATACATACATACATACATACATATAGTTATTTGTTTATATATATACATATATACATATATACATATACATATACGTCTGTGTGTGTGTGTGTGTGTGTGTGTGTGTGTCACTCGTAGGGTTTATTAGGATACTTAGAATGGAATTTTCTCAAGAGTGTGGGAGCTCTAACATCAGACTTATTCACCCACTCAGCATGGGAGGGAGGGAAATGTTTCCAAGCTACCAAATATTGAATTCATCCCCTTTGTTTCCTAGAATCCAGAATTTCTTTAACCTCAAAATGTTGTTCTCCTTCAATAAGGAGACGAACCGGGGATGGGGGTTGAGGTGAGTACATTAAAGATGTATGTTCAGGTTTCAAAAAGTTCACATGAAACACAGGATGGATTCACCTAAGGGTTTTTGGCAAATCCAATTGTACTGACACAGGATTTACAATTTTTACAATAGGAAAGGTCCTACTTATTTAGGACCAAGTTTCTTCAATTTCTGGGTAGTTTGAAGAAACTCAGTGGACAAGAATACTCTATCCCCAACCTGATATTCTTTCGGCTTTGAGCTTTTTTATCAGCTTGTCTTTTGTGTGCTTTGTGAACTGCGTCTAAGGCTTTGCAAGTCATAGGCCAGAGACTTTGAAGCTGATTACTCCACTCAGACAAAGATAAGATTTGTGGTTTCTCCTGAGGCAGTTCAGGAATGGGAACAAACTCCTGGCTGAACACTACCTTAAAAGGGGTCATTCCAATACTGCCATGTACCGAATTGTTTCATGCCACCTCTGCATGGGGAAAGAGGTCGACCCAATTATCCTGTTGATAATTGACATAGCACCTAAGATACTGCTCTAGAACCGAGTTAGCCCTCTCATAGGCCCCATTTGTCTGCAGATGGTGGGTGGAGCTTAGACCCCAGGCAGAGCCTATTAGCTTCAGCAACTCTTTCCAGAAGAGAGAGGTGAATTAGAACCCCCTATCTGAAACAATGCATTCAGGAACTCTGTGTAACCTATACACGTATAAAATAAATAGTTTAGCCAGTGTTTTGGATGATATCTTGTTGTTTTAGCAGAGATACTCAGAGATGATTCGCACCCTGGTCAATGTCTCTTTGCACTTTTGCCATCAGGCAGAATACATCAAAGTATAGCCAGCGGAACAAGCAGGTTTAAAGATAGTTTCTATCCTTGGGCTGTGAAACTTTTAAATACAACCACAATCACTCCATGCACACGCTAGTTTTTTTTCCCCTTTCCTTTTTTGTTTCTGTTATAATTTTGCACCAGTGAGGTTCAAACCAACTTCGTTGTATTTAAGTACAATGACAATAAAGATTATACTTATACAAGCATTCCCCCTTTACCATGTTATGCATACCATGATCTAAGTGTTTAATTTTGAAGTGTTTGATGAATACATTATCTATCATATTAGAAATACAATTAGTATAGAGCAATTAAATTGTCTGATTTTGTGAATGGAAAACAAAAACAAAAACACAACCAGATATTTTTTTTTCCAAATTGGTATCATTTTTAGAAAGCTTGAAAATAATAACATATATGTTACCTCTGCTATATTTGGATAAATATGGAAATAATTGAGCCAGCTCCATGGAACCAAGAACAGGCTAATACCTGGCCAATTGAGTGATGTCTGCCATAAAAGGATCTCCTAGTAGAAAGACCTTGTTTTTTTCAGACTAAGGGCTATGTTTTCCATTTACTTTGTTGATGACCTTGATCTTGACATTTGAATGTCAACTCATATTAAGTTTTATCCTAGACCTGCCTGCTTTCTTGCCCCAGTCATGACCTACTTTTTGAAGCATGTTTCATANAAGGAAGGAAGGAAGGAAGGAAGGAAGGAAGGAAGGAAGGAAGGAAGGAAGGAAGGAAGGAAGGAAAGGCAATACTGCCTTCTACCCATGGCTTCTGAACACACCCAAGATCAGGTCATCTGAACTGACCTGATGTGGGTGAGAAAAGAATTCCAAAGATGGAGAATTTAGACCAAATAATTATTTTAGAGACGGACGCCGTGAAAAACACAAGAGTTTCTCAAACATCTCCTGAATTTCAACCAGGAGGAAAGGTGTGTAAAACTCCAATCATTTAAATCCTGTGTCTTCCCCTCATTTCCTGCGGCCCTGGGTAATTAGGTGTTAATTAGCTGTCGCAATTACTTAAGCAAGGAACATTCCAGGCTCAATAGAACAAACTGGATTGAGGGCAAATTGCTTTCTTTAATTATTGTCTTTATGTTCACTACTTTTTTCCTTTTCTGTTTGGATTGCTGTTTTCATTCATCAGGAGCAAAAAGGGAGGGCGGGAGAAAGGAAACAAGGGAAGGAAGAAAAAAGGGAGGGAGGGAGGAAAAAAAGAAGAGGGAGGGGGAAAGGGGAGGGAGGAAGGAAGGAAGGAAAAGAGAAGAGGAATGGAGTAAGGGGAAGGAAGGAAAAGGAAGGGAGGAGAGAAAGCAAAAAAAGGGAGGGAGAAAGGAAAAAAAGAGGGACAGAGTGGAAAGAAGGAAAGAAGAAAGGAAGGAAGGCGGAAAAGGGATGGCAGGAGAAAGGGAAAGGAAGGAAGGAAAAGAGGGAGGAGAGAGAGCAAAAAGGAGGGAGAGGAAAAAAAAGGGACGGAGGAGAAAGAAGGAAAGAAGAAAGGAAGGAAGGCGGAAAAGGGATGGCAGGAGAAAGGGGAAGGAAGGAAGGAAAAGAAGAGGAATGGAGTGAGAGGGGAAGGAAGGAAAAGAGGGAGGAGAGAGAGCAAAAAGGAGGGAGAGGAAAAAAGAGGGACGGAGGGGAAAGAAGGAAAGAAGAAAGGAAGGGAAAAAGAGGGATGGCAGGAGAGAGGGAAGGAAGGGAAAGAATGGCAGGAGAAAAAGGAAGGAAGGAAAGGAAGGAGGGGAGGGATGGAGGGGAAGGAAAAGATGGGTTGGTTGGATGAAGGAAGGAAATGGAGGAGGGGAGGGCGGGAGGAAGAATAAAGGGGAGGGAGAGAAAAAGAGGAAAAGAGGGAGGGAGAGAAAAAGAGGAAAAGAGGGAGGGAAGGAAATAATGAGAGGGAGGAAGAGGGGAAGGAAGGAAAAATAGAAGAGGAAGGGAAAGGAAACGAGCAGAGGAAGGAAAGGAGGGAAAGAAGGGAAGGGAACAGAGGTGGGTTCCTACCGGTTCGCACCGGTTCGATAGAACCGGTTCGTCAAATCTACCGANCCATCCCTCTCTCTCCTTCCTTCCTTCCTTCCTTCCTTCCTCCATCCCTCCCTTCCATTCATTCATTCATTCATCCATCCATCCTTCCACCCACCCACCCACCCATCCTTCTTTCCTTATAATCATCCATCCCATCCATCTCTTTCTCCCTCCGCCCATCCAGAGTGATTCTCCTCGCTCTAAAAAAACAGAGGACCATTCTTCAATTGATTATCCAAGCAGATCGATAATCGATACAACATCCCAATCAAAGGTTGGCGCCATCAGCCTCCCGGACCTCCCGCTATTCACCTCCCAGAATCCCCCAGTCATCCTAACAAGGGAATTCTGGGAGCTGAATTCCCAACTTAGCTGTGAAATGCCGACAATTTTGGACTCTTATCCTCCTCCCCTCTGTTTCTCCTGCCCGCTTATTTCTCCCCAGAACGTACCTGGGCACCAGGGGTTGAAGAGGATGTACACCTCGTTTTTGGGGTCGAAGGGGGCAGCATACTCGCCCGCCTTGCTTCGGGTCTTCACGCTGAACTGGTACTTGCCGATCACCGCTCTGGGCGAGGGGCAGACTCGGATACTCATGGTGTTGTCGTCCGAGCTGATCATTTCCGCCGACCAGGCTGGGCTGGGCAAGGAGCCACCGACGGGTACTAGGATGTGGGTGCCCTTTGAGGCTTGCGGGCTGGAGCCTGTCGAAGGGAGAAAATGTGGGAGGGGGAAATTAATAATTGCAATTTTACGATTAATAGAAGTTAGACAGGGAAGTATCCATAGTCATAGACACCTGGTGTGCGACTGGCGCGCCATTTGAACAACATGGGAATTGACAAATTCCCCACCGGTCAATTGCAAAAGACAGCTCGATTTAAATCCTATGTGAAAACGTGGGAGGGAAAAATAATACTTGTAATTTTACGATTTAATAGAAGTTAATGACAGGGAGGTATCCATACTCATAGAGGCCCGGCGTGCGACTGGCGCGCCATTTGAACGATGTTGGAATTGACAAATTCCCCATCGGTCAATTGCGAAAGGCAGCTTGATTTGGAATGGCTTAAATTCTACCGGAAAATCTCTCTCTTTTTTTGCATCATTTAACATCCACATCTGTCTTTTCTTCAGGTCCTTGGGAGGGACTGAAGAGGTGGACAAAACTGCCAGATGTAGTCTCAACATCTGGCCAATGCTGGAACCAACACTAATAATGTCTTATACGTATATTTAAAGCTGTACGTGTTTCTATATGTACAAATTACACACATTTATGACATTTATTTTACTATTTAAAGGGTAGAAGCATTTGTTTTGCTGAGAATTGGGGCAAAGGGGTAGCCGCCATCTTGACTCCTTTCACCATACCCTCCGGACACCCCTGCCGTGAACTCTTGTTTGAACTACAAGTCCCATGTTCCCTTCCAACAGCCTCTTTGTGGCCCCACAGAGAACGCCAAATTTGAAAAAAGGATTTTGCACCTATATTTTAAATTTAAAACAGGTACTCCTCGATTTATGACCACCGTTGAGGCCAACACTGCTGTTGTTAAGCGAGACCGCTGTTCAATGAGTTTTGCCCCATTTTATGACGGTCATAAAGTGAATCACCGCAGCTGCTAAGTTAGTAACCCGGTCGTTCAGCGAATCGGGCTCCCCCATCGACTCTGCTTGTCGAAAGCTTGCAAAATCACTTGACCTGGGACGCGGCGACCGTCGTAAATCTGAGCCGGTCGCTAAGCAGTTGAATTTTGATCACGGGGATGTTGCGACGGCTGTTAAATGTGAAAACGGCGCCTAAGTCTCTTTTTTCCCCCAGGGTAAGCTTTGAACCGTCACTAAAGGACCTACAAAGTGAAACTTCATCGATTCCTTAAAATAGGACTGATCGAAAGGCGTCAGCCATTTTGAAAACACACCGGTTTCCCTGAAAATAAGACCTCCCCGGATAATAAGGCCCAATCGGGCTTTTGAGCACATGCCCTGAAGTAAGCCCTCCCCTGAAAATAAGCCCTCCCTGAAAAGATTGCAACGCGGCGGCAGCCATGAGGCGACCACGCTCGCCGCCTCAAAAAATCATAAGACCTCCCCGAAAATAAGGCCAAGCGTTTGGTTCGGGAGAGAGGTGTCAAAAGAAAATAAGACTGCGTCTTATTTTCGGGGTATAATCATCATCCTGTTTGGATAACCCGGGTTTCATGTGTTGTGTGAAACAACAGCCGGTTTGTCTTCAAGCCAAACACCAAACACCAACAAGTCCACCCTTGTTTGTTGAGGTGGGTCGACCGTTCAGCCCCAAAAGAGACATTTTATCAAGCGGAGCATGGAGGATTGGCTTGGCGTTGAGCCTCGGCTTGCTAGGAAGGGTTCAGATAAGGAGTGTGAGAACACCCGGTGCTCCGGTGGTGGGAACGGGGCCTGCCAAAAATGCATGTTCCGAGAGATAATGTGAATTCCCCAGATTCCACCACTTGCTTCCTCTCCCTTCAATAAAATCTGAAACCGATGCCAGGGAGCCTAGCTCAGCTCATTCCTTTTGCCTTTCACCGCAAGTCGATCGGCAGGACAAACCACGGTTTAGAAGTGGCTCAAGGCAGCAATGTGCGGTTTGCAGCCACAAGCAAAGCTTACATTCCTTTGAGGGAGGTAAGTGGTCCCCCTCCCCCACAAACAAAGACGGTTCCACCACAAAACCGCGGACGACAAAATCGCGGTCGACGAAAGCGCGTATGTGACGTCATCA